AAGGGGGGGATAGCGGGCAGAGGGTGGGGATGGGGTGGGCGGATGGGGTGGAGGAATATTCAGGTTTTTGAAAAAGCGGGGTAGTACCCGAGTTCCGTGGAGCTTCAGTGTTGAACGTAGCAGCATGTTGCCATGTAACCCTAACCGACGTTGTTATTTTTTGAGCGGGAATGGCTGAGTAAAAATCAATAAGTTTCAAAATTCAGAAATGGATGCCAGTGTGATCCACGGGTGGTTTTAACATGTAAGGCCGACAGGTTTGAGTTTTGAGCTGACATGTTTGAAAATCGCCGACAGGTTTGGATTTCAGGCCGACACGTTTAAAATATCAAAGCAAGAACGTACGCGTAGTCACAGCGTGCGCTTGTAGCATACACTATTACAGTCAATTACACTGTTTTACTCTGTGCATGGGCTCCCACTTGACTTACGGGCAGTCGAGTCATACAGTGCGTCTACGTCTTCTGAGCTGCTTGCTCTGATTCATGCGCGCGTGCCTGTACGCCTGCCTGTGTGTGCGTCCGCGCGTGCCTGTGTGTGCCTGCGGGCGTGCCTACGTAGACCCGTAGGATTATAGAACGGTAATCCATGGAAAATCGTAATGAAATTCACACGTTTATTTTTGCGTGCCGGCACACTCGTGTGTCATTCCCGATTGTAGCTTTTTCCTCGATTCCAGCAAAGAGTTTTGCTGTCGCTCTCTCATAGTCCAGCGGTGTCCACTCCCTACATTCCCTTAGTGATTAGCACCATGCGGCTGAAACAATCATGCACCAAACTCCACCAATGTCCAGCAGCGATCGAAATACAACAATTCTTGGGAAACGGTCTGTGGTGTCGGTCAGATAATTGTGATATATGTGCCAACAGTTTCTTGGGTGCTCTTAAACTCGTTTTACCTTATTATATTATCACTCGCTTATCTTTCTCTTGAGTATATATAGTTATATCATATAAGTCTTATCATTCCTTCGCCTCTTAATCCTTTTCGGCGACCTTTGAAAATATAATGTGAGAATGTCAGTGCAGTGGCGTAGCTAGGATTTTTTAAGCGGGGGGGGGGCACTGGGGGCCTTACTTTTCGTGTGGGGGGGGGAGTGGCACAATTTAAAACTTTGTATTATACTGTTCTAACGGCATTGGTTTTAATTCAATTTTTTTTTTTATCAAGCATGAATTTTTAGTGGGGGGGCACCTGGGGGGGCACAGAAAATTTGTGGGGGGTCTCGTGCCCTCTCAGGCCCCCCCCGTAGCTACGCCCCTGATGTCATGCAATAGCGCCCTGGCTAAAAGGATGTTAGGAATATTACACAACTATTTTTTAGAAATTCTTTAGTTGTCCAATTAGGCAACTAGCCAAACGAATAAATTGTCCGACATAGAATTTCACTTGTCCTGAGCCTGATATGCATAGCGCTCGCAATCCGCTATGAATAAAAAAACAGCTCACAATAACCAGCCTATTTCATCAGATTCCTTCTAACAAGGAGGAGACAACAAACGCTTGCACGAGCAGTAGCATCACTGACAATGAAGAAATAGAATAGACTCAATCCAAATTATTTTGAAATATAGGTCATAAATTTTGTGCAAAAATGCTCTGAAATAAGGCTCAGATTGCACCACAGAGCATCTAAAACCCCTGAGCTTCCAGGGCCTTAAACAGGCCCTGGACCCCAGCCACAATGACTTCGCCTTCGCACTCGTGTGTGTGCTTTCGCGCACGTATAATTTCACATAATATCTAAAGAGGGTGATACTCCATTAGGAGTGTTCCCAACTTTAATGTCATTAATGGTTAGGGTTATGTTATTAAGGTTAGGTTTAGGGTTAGGTTAGGTTAGTTAGGGTTAGGATTATCATCATTAATCATTAATGCATTATGATATCAAAGTTGGGAACACTCCTAATGGAGTATCACCCTCTTTAGATATTATGTGAAGATTAGTGCGCGAACCATTGCATAGCAAAAAACTGGCTGTATTCTCTCTCATTTATTAAAAAGCAAAACTAAACTATTTCTGATATATCGGTTTAATATATATATAATATATATATATATATATATATATATATATATAATAATATTTATATTATTTATATTTATATATATACGATATAATTATAAATTATAATATAATCAAAAATTATATTTATAGTAATATTATATAAGATATTTGTTTATTGCAGTGAAGAGAAGGCCAAGGTGCTGAGAGAAGCAGTGGGATGACATTGCCGCTGAAAGACCAGGAGCTTGGGTAAGTGAACTACCCTTACGAAGAGTCGATCACTATGTAGCTGCATCACATTCCACATCTGTAGCTTTAATCGACATCTATGCTATAAAGGACACTGGTCTGTTAATAAGTTCCCCCTGTCTATATAGTTATAGGCAGTAGAACTGCCATTAGGCCAAAACAAAATATAGGTGTGGTTAAGGGGTTTCTTCGGCGACCTATTTATTCCCAGCGACCCTAAACATTTAATTGACAATTTTCTTTATAAGTAAAAAAAAATATTAAAAAAAATAAAAAAAATGAATTGGACAGTTCCTGCTCTCAAAGGCACAACGCTCATCCGCGGACATGCGGTTCGTAAATAAAATATTTTCAAGAAAATAAATGTTTCCCTACCTACCTACCCTAATTTTTTTCGGCATGGTAAAGGTAACCGCACATATATTTTTGTTTTGGCCTTATTCAACACTGACAACATTTGCCACGTGAGTAACCGTCGTCGTCGTTTGCAGGACGTTTCTATCGTCGCTGCAGACGGACCAGCTTTTTGACGTGGAGCACGATCGTCTGCCACAGCCTCTCCTGGAGAGATGCGCTGCGCTCAGCGTCAGGCCCACCGCCGTGAAGGACCTCACGACGGCCATGAAAGGTTTCAAGAATATTTGTAAAAATTTTATCGTCCGCTTTTCATTCGCCGTTGTTGTGTTTTTGGTTTCCATTTTCCCGTTTTCCGCGTTCCATTTTTTCCGTTTTGTTATTTATGTTGTTTGTCGATGTATGTCAGTAGTCGAGTCTTCCTTACTGAAGTAGAGGAAAAGGGAGAAGGAGAAGAAGGAGGAAGAGGGGGTAGGAGGAGGAGATGGAAGTAGGAAGAAGGAGGAAGAAAATAAGAAGAAGAAGAAGAAGAAGAAGAGCACGAAAAAGAACATATACTATTTCGTTATGAAAAAAAAAATAATAAGTCACAAAATGAATCATGATAGCAAAATATTTCCTGAGAAAGGAGTCTGTGGCATGTGTTTATCTTCCCAATTCGCATAGTATTCACTATATTTACCTCCACCCAACGGAGTTGGAGGAGGTTATGTGATCAGTCTCGTGTGTTCATGTGTTAGTGTGTTTGCACGATCGATATTAGCACGTCGAGTCAGCGAGCCAGCCAGCCAGCAGCAGGCCCGTCAGTCAGCAGCAGCCAGCAGCGAGCGGCGAGCCAGCTCGTAACACATACATGTTGCATGGGGCGTATGGCGTATGTCGCTGGCGGAGGTATGCACTCTCCGTGAGTCTCGTGTCTAGTCTCAGTTGGTATAGCACAGCATATTAGTGCTGGTTGTCACTCATATGGCTCATGTTTTTTTCAGAGCTGTCTGATATTAGTTTGGATGTGACCGAAGATTTAAATAAAGTTCACGAACTCATGGAGTCAGAGGAACAAAGTGAAAAAAGCTTTCAAGTAAGTCGCGGAAGTTGTACGATTGAGTCACGTAACCGTACTTCAGATTTCCAGCTGCCGCTCTCTAATTGATCAGTGTTCGAAATAAGGAAACAAATTTGCTTGTCCGGCGGACAAGCTACAAGATATGCTTTGTCCTTTTTGCTTGTCCTGCAAAATTTTTGCTTGTCCTGATTAATAACAAAGAAATATAGTAAATGTGTAATAGATTTAATCAAATTAAATTTTAGACTCAATATCTTACTTTGTAATTTTAATACAGTTCACTAATAGTTCGAATTAGGTAACAAACTTGAAAGAACATAACGAAGCACAATTATTTATTTTAGTTATTACTTGTCTTAACAAAGTTGAAGCGATGGTAGAAAATGATGTAAAATTGCTCTAAAACGTTGCTCTAAAAAGCTGCTTGTCCGGCGGACAAGCTACTGGACAGGTTTACTTGTCCTCCGTGGAAATGGACAAGTGAGGACAAACCCATAGCCTTTATTTCGAAACTGTTGACCTATTCGTCTGGCAGAATTGACCCGTCCGACCGTGAGCTGCACAGGCTATGTCCTGTCCTGTCGCACTCCTGTCACTCTGGTTGCCTCTGCAATGGCGTCCGGTTAATTCACTCTACCACAAAAATCTGGATAATTGCCTATATACCTCAAACGTCCGGACAGAGAATTTCCGTGCCACATCCTTCCGGATAATTCCCTTTCGGTTAAGTCCGGATAATATTCCTGTTCATACACGTCTGGATAATTTCCATCTGGATAATTCCTGTACTACATCCTTTCAGGTAGTTCCCATCTGGCTATGTCTGGATAAGGCCATAATACAAATAATGTTTGTTTGCCCTCACCCAACCGACCCGCCAAAAAGGGGTCGACTCAAAAAATGTTGATCTTTTTTTTTTTTACAAATTGTATCACTGTACATTATATAAATCTGTAGGCAATACATTATATGTACCAAGCAAAACATACGTTCAACATAAAAGGTATCTCCACACAAGCACACCCGAGCATGTAGACACCATGCTGAATTTGTAAAAAGACCCATTAAAAAAAGAAAAGCCTACCTACCTACCCAAACTATTCAGCCTGGGTCCGGTGAGGGCTAACAAAGATTTTAATTGTGGCCTAATACCCATCTATGCAGGTCAGGGGTCGTCGGCATATGTTTGGATAATTTCCGTCCGGTTTTAACCGATGTTTATCCGGATGCTTCCCGCTCTTGCAGGAGCAGCTGGGACGTCGCGACGCATCGCTCATCGTAGCTGAGCTAGCTAAGGAGTACGGCCACCTGAAGGAGGCTAACGCACGCGCGGATACGTCCGACCGTGAACTACATAAGGTGATGATGGTGCACGTCAACAACCTGAGACTGCTGGCCAGTCAACCGGAGGAGATCAAGCAAGCTCTGCCCTTGCTGGAACTAACCGACGGTAAGCAAAGGACAATAGGCGGTCGATTTCAAATCAATTACATAATTAATTAAAAATTAATTCAATTTTTAATTTGATTCAAATTAATTCCAAAGTTAAAATTTGTGATTTTTTTAGATTTTATTTCGAATGATAAATTTTCCGGTATATGGCATTTTTTATGGGTTTTACCATGTGTTATGCAGGAGCAATCAAAATGTTCGATATCAGAGCTGGTTGGGTTTCAAAAGCTCCCCAAAGCAACACATTATAAAGTCTCTCTGATGCGAAAATCAACGAAAGCGAGAATTTCATCATTAAGTTTTTTTTGCGCATTTCTTGCTGCAGAGGACAGAGAAGCATCTAGTGAGATCTGGAGACTCCTGGGGAAGGTAGAGGAGATGAAAGAGCAGCGGGACAAGTTCGAACACGAGCTGAGAGAGCAGGTGCAGAATGACGACATAACGAAGGCCCTCGTCACGATGAAGGATGCAGACAGCCTGGAGGTACGTACATGTAGATGAAGGATGCAGACAGCCTGGAGGTATGTACATGTAGATGAAGGATGCAGACAGCCTGGAGGTATGTACATGTAGATGAAGGATGCAGACAGCCTGGAGGTACGTACATGTAGATGAAGGATGCAGACAGTCTGGAGGTACGTACATGTAGATGAAGGATGCAGACAGCCTGGAGGTACGTACATGTAGATGAAGGATGCAGACAGCCTGGAGGTACGTACATGTAGATGAAGGATGCAGACAGCCTGGAGGTACGTACATGGTGTTAGAATGAAGGCTCGCAGACAGTCTGCGGAGGTACGCTACAGTGTAGAGTCAATGAACCCGATGCGAAGCGACTGAGCCGGCGTGTAAGCGTATCCGTACAGTCGTAAAGGATGAGAAAGGGACTTCGCAGACCATCCCCCCTGGAGGGTTACCCATTCGTACAGTGTATGATTGAAGGATGCAGTAAGCAATGCCTGAGGTAAACGTACATGGTACCAAAATTGAAGGAGCACGACAGCCCTGGGAGGTACGACATGATAGTATGAAGGATCCTGCACGCATGAGCAGCCCATTCCTGGAGGAGTGACCGTGTGAGGCGGTCCTGTTTGTAGATGACAAGGACTTAACACAGACCACGCCTGAGGTATGTACAACGGTAATGTAGAGAGAACCAAAAAGTGAAGGAGTGCAGACAGCGGCGGACCAGGAGCGGCTGTTATATGTACATAGTATAGAAAAAAGTGTGTCAAATGAAACGAACTGGATGTACGAGTACTCAGCCCATATCTAGCCTTGGAGGATTTGATTAGAAGACGGTGAGTGAGATGAAGGATGAAGACGAGGCGCTGGAAGTGATATTAGTAAACAAGCAATGTGAGTAAGATATGTAAATGGAGTGCTAGACAAGAACCTTCGCATGGTAGGAGTACGTAGCATAGCCTTTCCACCGTTCTGTAGCCAATATTGGTAAAAAGATTATATGCTCAGTTATCAGGATAGACCATTCTAGATAGATGGTAAATGTACATGGCATAAAGTTGTTAGATTGATAGGCTAAAAACAGACAATGTACACTAGTGTATGTATCGAAATACGAGAGTGTGAGAGAGAGCTAGAAGATGAAAATGACCATTGCACCTGGCGAAGGGTAAGATGGCGTACGCCATTGTAAGATGAAGGAATGCAGACAGCTCTGGAGGATGTACAAGTGTAGGATAAGAAAACGGCCGAAATGATTGCCAGGACCAAAAATTGTCTTGGGAGGTTATGGGTTTTTGACACCTGGAAGTACGAAATAATAGGGAGTCGCAGGCAAACAGCCTGAAATAAAGGTAAAAAATACAAATTATAAACGAATGGAAATGAAATTTGAATCAGGAGCAATTATTGTGCTAGAAACAGGCGACAATGAATCTAAAAAAAAGGAGTATGTACAAATTAGTATAGACAACCGTGAATTGAACAGACAGCACCTGTAGGTTTATTACGTTACAGTTGGTGATGAAAGATAAGAAGGATGAAGATTATGGTTAAATCTGGGAGGGTATGTACATGTAGATGAAGGAGTGCAGACAGACCGTGTGAGATATTGTACATGTTGAGATGAAGGAATTGCCAGCACAGCTTAAGCAAATCGGAGGTATCGGAAAATAAAAACCCAGCGTGAAAAATTAGAATGAAGGTGGATGCAGACCGTATGTCAGCTCAGACAGCACTGGGACGACCTTACGTCTCACACGTAAAAATGTAAGGAAAACGTAGTTTCGTGTACAGAGTTGAGGATGGGCAGGGAATTAACACGCTAGTAAACACACACTATTGCAGAGGAATAATAGCATGAAAGAATTTTAACAAAATCATGAAAAATTCTAGAAGGTGTACACAGATGAAATTCTGATCAATTTCAGTATTCAAGGCAACAAAGGCTGGATAGGGGCGGTATTGTAAGAGCTTTCGAAAAGTAGGTGCGAAGCTTAGGGGATGTTCAATGGATCAAAGACGGAAGTTACACACACTCTCCAAGTGAGAGTAACGCAACCCTGTGAGTGCGAGAAGTGTTGGAAATGTGGGTCAAACGTTTCGAGTTATCTACGCGTTGGACCATAAGTGAGACACACTGCGAAATAGCAGTAGTTGAAATTGTCAAAGTATATATGCAGTACATGCAAATAGAATAGTGTGTGCCGCAAATAAATTCAAATTAAAACAATGGCCACAGTCTTGGAGTGCGTACGGAGTGGTAGAGCGAAATGAGCAGCGCCATCTCATCGCTAAAAAAACGTCTAAGCTGCGGTGACTCTGTGTGGAGTGGGTGCGATTCTAAGTAACCGCTGTCCTAGTCCCACAATGTGGTTCGACCGGGATACACGCCGAAACAGTGAAAGTGCACAGGGAATGGTATGCAGAGACATTCTCAAAAAGAATGTTCGTAGTGGCACGCCCACACCACAATGGAGTCAGTGAAAGTACCAGACCGAGTGATGGCGCTTGGAGAGACCTTTAAGTGTCTCAAAAGATTAAAGAGATGGAAAGCTCCATGCCATACGTTGTACAAAGCCAACTATTGTGCAAGACAGAAATAGGTATACACCTCATATCCAAGATCTAGCCTTAACAGCCAAAGGCCTCACAGCTGCAAATTGCATATAGACGAAGGCTGCACCGTGTAACCAAATTAACGCAGTAGCAATAGACGCACCAACATCAATCACTGCAGACGAGCCCTGGGGCAGTGAGCATCTAGCGTTAACAATGAATGAGTAATAAAGCGGAAGGAGAGTGATGGACTTACACTCCAACCACGGGGAAACCCTCGTCATCTGTAACCTCCAGCTTATAAGATACCACTACGATTACTACCGCCCATAAACTCATTGCACCAACTTGAGTCAACCATCGGACACATACAATTCTGACCACATCCGTAACAGAGTCCGTTTCTCCTGTAGACACCCACGCAATTCCGGAGAATACAGACTATGAGACGAGTAGACACTCGATTCTCCGATCGTTTGTCCATTTAATCTAATGCCGGTGACACTCGCCTATACTTCAAACAAAAGGCATCTACTAAATACACACCACTGACAGCGGTGGTGACTTGCGCTCCACGATATGAAGGATGGGCGCGAGATGGCACGGCTGTGGCATAGGCAGGGTGATTAGGGCAATCAACTGCAACACTCCGCGAGAATAACCCTGATTTGACCCGTAAGACAGTCTACAACGTTATGTGCCTCTGTATGAGTCATGGAGAGGCCGCGATGGCCGGCGACACGCACCCGGCCAATACTCACGCTGAGTCAGCAGCAGCGGTCCCTGCGAGCCACAGCGCCCTCGCCGTGAGCCGCAAGCCCCCGTCGAGGAACAGGTGGTATACAGTATAGGCATTGCTACGGTTGATTAATGACAAAGATTGGGAGAATCGTGTCGTTTGTTTTAGTCTTATGCTCCGGATTGCGGGTTCTAAGAGGAAACGTTTGGTACGATGAGCTAGCAATGTAACTCGTGTCACGATTTGAGCTCAAAGTTGGATGAGTTACGGCGTAGTAAATCGTAGGTAATTATAGCTAGTACATTGACGAATTTCCCTTGTTTACTTGAAGTCACACTCCTTCCTTTATACTGCCTGGTTACATGTAACACATGACGACGTACAGAATGAACATAGAAATTATACCATTTAAGGAACATACAGCTTCTATTAACGCAAATTTAGCTTTTGAATGTTCAGCTGTGACATTGCTAAGGCCTCATACATCCAGCATGTATAGATTTACCAGACGGCAGTGCCGCCGCCTCCAATTTTCTAAACAGACAGTCAACAAATCCACCGTTAACCTCCTACTTGAAGGTCAAAGAGGTTATTCTTCGCTATTCACTTACGGTGTGATGTTCACAGAAGGACATTTCATGGTCCTTTCAATAAACGCCAATATGCTAGGTCACTCACTAGAAAGCAAAAAACGTTTTGTTCTCAATCGCTCCGTCGAGACCATGGTCCTCAGTAGAATATGTCTATAAATCTGCCCTGTGCCCACTGAATCTTTGACTCTGTAACCTCCAAATTCCGGCACAGTGATGGCTTTTTCCTAAACAATGATGCTATACAACCAGACTATCACGGAGCCTATGTCGAGCCGTTTAGACTTTTGTGCCGCAATTCTGCATTTCTCGATATATCCTTAGAGTTAAGGAGTGAAGTCGCCCCTTCTTTTACACCTCTTGAGCCTTTGAAGACCTTGAACAATCCCAGCTTCGACATCCCAACTCGTTTTCGATTACCCAGCCACGTCCGCGAATATCGTGACCGGTACGTCGACGGTTAAGATTTGTGCGCCAAACTGGTTGACGCACGGAAGACGCATCGGACCGATCCATAGCGATTCTACAAGGCTGCATCGAAACTTATGTCAAGATGAGCTAAAAATCAAAAACCTGTGTGAATATGTTTTGGGGCCACAGTCCTCATTCATGGTGCGACAACCACAGAAATGAGCAAAATCCATTGAACCTTGTCTGAAACTGGACTTATGGCCATTTCCATTTTGACCGAAAACGTGGACCGTGGCTGGAGAGAGAGGATCGAGCTGGCGTAAAACCTCACAAAAATAGGACGTTCCAATGACCTCACTATAGGAGGTAACAAACTGCATGCCAATTTGAAACATGTGGGGTCAAACAGTTTCTGAGTTACCGTTGACACATAGGCAGACAAGCTGGAAATGCATAAGTGAAATGTGTCAAAATCTACCTAATTTGCATAATTAAAAAAAAATCAACACACAGTGTGATATGTTTTGGGGCCAGTCCCTCCATTCATTCCACATCACCCGACAATGACCAAAACTTCGCATCTGAACCTAACTCGCACTTATGGCCATTTCCATTTCTTCTGCCAAAATAAGGCTGGACATCCGTGGCTTCACCTGCTCCAAGGTGACTCACCGTGCCCAATAGGCATATAATCATTCCCATAAGGATAACAACTAATACTC